AATATTCAATAGTTGCTCTGTTCCGAAACTGCAAGTATGTAAATGTTTTTACTACGATAACAATTGTTTCCTTTATGATATCGGCATTAATTGCAAAACTAGTTAATTCTTGCAGATTCTGAAACAGAGCAAGTATAAATGCGATACAAGAGCAATATTCATAAATCCAGTGGATATTATTTGATGTATACGCTATAAGGCATGGTAGAAGATGCATCAACGCTTGGCAACATTGATATCTTCAAATTGTTTAAATTTTTATGTCTAAAATAAGTGGATTTTTATATGTTTTCTTATACCACGCCAATCGGAGGTTGTTATAATATGCATTTTTTTAACATTTTCACAAATTTCAATAAATTTTCATTCAAAAATTTAAATTCCCAAATTAGTTTGACAGTTCTTTGTCCCAGAAGCTGAGTCGATGCGACTACCTGTATTTTTCTGCCATGATAAAACGACGAAAAAGCCAATCAATCACTTATGGTACAATTACTAAGGTAATCTCATGCAATCATACGATTACAATTTGTCGGAAATAGCATCAAATTTTAGAATAACTTTAGATTTGTTCTAATTGGTCACCTTTGGCATGCATTATGGCCTTTAAACGGCCAATAAATGTCCTGTTGGGATGTCCAAGGTCAGCGGGCAAAATGTTTGCGTGCCCAAGGCTTTAATACATCCTTCAAAATATTTTCGCGATAATATTCGGCATTTATTCTAATGCCACGGTCGATTAATACGAGCGGAGAGCGACCATCGGCTGTTATGGCGACCCACACCATCACCATGGCCGGCGCTTGAGTTCTGGTGGCCAACCGAAGGTGCACATTTTCAGCTGACCTTTTTCAATATTTGCCGAATTGAATATTGTGATATGTTATGCTCACGAGTCATGTTTCGGCCACTGCTACGCGGGTTTCGATCGAGTCGCTTCTTTGCTTTTAGAATTATTTCTGCTGATGTTGCTGTTTACTTCCGTCCACTTCCTTGACGTCGGGCTACGCTGCAAGTATCACGGTAACGAGCGATGGTACGAGACACAAAAGATTTATTCACATTTAAATGCTGGAGTGCTCTAACGATAGCCACTTGTGGTTTAAAGGAATCACACTATCACGCTTGAATTCCATCACGAATAACTTTTTTTCCGGAAAATTCTCACCAAAATGCTTTTGTACGCTCTAGTTGTTTTCTAATGGGATCGGTAATTGAAAGTAAAACTGAAATTGTATTATGATTTCTTCGAAAGGGACTAAAAAATGTAATTCGATCATAAAGATACAGAATTTGTTCCTTTATAACATTTCTCAGGATTTTGGATACCGAAGGTAAAATAGAAATCAAACCATCATGACAATTTTTGGTTATAGGAATTATTTTTCCAAGTTTCCGTGCGTCAGGAAGACTGGAGACCGTAAGAATTGTATTAAATTACTGTATTAAATATATGTAGCAAAAAAGTCTAAATTGCAGGAAAAATTTGGTTAATGAAGTTGATTGGTATAGAATCATATCTAAGCGAGTTTAATTTAATAGAATTTAGAGATAGTATTTGCTCATACTCAGTAATAGAACGAAAAGAAAATGACATAACATCAATAAAACTATCGAAATCGAAAGATAGGTTAATCGAGGGTCTCATATTACTTCTTTTCCACAATTTACAAAAAGTAGTAATTTTTACCATATATCAGAAGAAATGCATTTATTTTAAAGGAAAGATGCAATAATGAAAACCTGATAATGTGGACCTTATCCTTTACTTTTTCTAAAGAGAGGGATAACAAAATTTTACTATAAAGAAGCGATATAAGAAAGTGCCTATATATTCTCACCTTAAAAATGGTACATGGTAACCCTGTACAATTATATGTGGACAATATTTTTGAAATTATTCCTTTGACATTCTATTATCATAATTTTTTATTCACAAATCCATTGTGCATACGCTAATTAGAAATGAAAACTTGCCATCTATAGTTGTGTTCCAGTACTTTTTTAGTAGTATAACTAGCAGAAGAGAGAACAGTTCGAAATGTCATTCTCATTTAGGTGTGCTCAAAAAATAAGGGAACGGAAAATTAGCAGAAATGCGATAAAATGTCAAAATTCCAAAAATAAACAGTCTAAATCGGACTGGTGAAACCTTACTGAAAAGGACGCCAAAATTTGAGTATTGAAGACGATAAGTTAAAATTATAATCTATAATAATAATTAATAACTTCATTCCTCACTGCTGGAATCATCCAAAAGTGAGTGAATACATCAGTTGTGACGTGCGAACATTGAAATGTATCAATACATTTTTCAACCTTGTTAGCCCTGCCAATTAAATGTCAAATTTACAAAATGCACATATCTGCTCGGCCAAATTCATGTAGCTAAAACAGGCAGAAATGTGCACCACTCAGCGCCATTTTTTTCTCGAGAGAGCTGCAAGTTTTGCTAGTTTTTGGAGTACGGGAACGCGTTGTAGCAGAATTAGCACTAATTAGTACTAATTTGTAGGTTCCGGAACACAACAGAAAAATGCAGCGTTAAGTTATTAGAAACTAACCATAGACAAATAAAGGTATAAACTAAAAAGTTGTCTCATCTGTTATCTTCGAATAAAGTGCTGCAATAGATGTCGTTCGTTCTGTGAGAGAGCTTATGCTAGAAACACAATTGGAGCGAACGACGAATTTTTCGCGGCGTATGTTCGTCGTCAAAAAATAAAAAACATATGTGTATATGGAAATGCACACAATCACGGCGCCGGCGAAAATTTCATCGGACACCGCGAACTCAATTAGCTTTATTTCTATTTCATACGGCGAACAAAACAGTACAAGGTGGCCATATTTGTACGAATTTTATGTGTTTTAGTAAATAAAGTTACTTTTTACTTTAAAATTTGTTATGGTCACTCTACTATCTGTTACTCGTATAAAAAAAAACATAATTAATTTGTTTATTTATTTGTGTACTTGCGCCTGAGTGAAGGTGGATATCAGTGAATTTATAATAGAGAAGATGGACATAAGTGAAATTATAATAGAGAACGTAAAAAATTATGAGTTCTTGTATAATTTTGCATCAAAAGACTACAAGAATGTTCAAAAAAAGGAAACAACTCCATCAGCTGTTTTATCATTTCGTCGGCATCGTGTTCCATACGACGAATTTATGCGACTCATTTTGTTCCCGCGTAGGTAGGCGAAATTCGTCGTTCGCTTCAATTGTGTTCCTAGCATTAAGTCGATTCACTCAATTCTCTCAAAATACAAAATATTGAATATTTTTGTGATATATTATTATTTATAAAACAACACAAAGAACTTGTTAATGTTTACATTAGCCAACTACGTCGTGAAATATAAAAATATATAACTTAAATAGCAGAAAAATTAATATATTGTTTTCCAAGACTAGATACTTTACTGTCTCAATGGTCAACCATGGGGGTCTCTGCCGGGAGGGGTAAACATTAAAACTTTTAAGTCTGTACCTTTATTTGTCTATGACCTAACGTTATCCTTTTGGCTTAATGAAGAATAAAAAACGGCGTTGTGATTTTTGTATTAAATTGTGAAAAATATTGAAATGTATTTAATGTTGAAAGACAATAAAAATCATTTACGATAACTTTTACTTTAATAAAATCATAATGATACTCTTGGTAAAATTAAAAAGGTAGAGTCGTTTCAAACAAGACATCCATATCTGCATTTTCTGTAAATTACCTTGTCAAATTTCACTGAAGAAAAATCAGGTTACAATCTCCGATTTCTGTGTATACAATGGATTCATAAATATAAATTTTAACAATGAGATGTTGTCAAATGAATAATTTTAAAAAAATTGTAAGCATGACTTCTTAATTCTACTATGATGCTACTATAAAACTATTTTAGTAAGCTTTTTTTCAAACAAGTACGTTTATATTTACGAAATCCACTCGATCTCATATGTCCATAACGTATACGTTAAATAATATCCACTGGATTTATGAGTATTTGCGATTTACGTAACGTATACGCTATGGAATTGATATATGAAATCGAGCATGGCAGAAGAATACAGGTAGATGCGTCATTGGAAGTCTACTAGTAGTGAAAAACATCATCAAATTCAATGATATCTACACCACACTCAACTAGTCCATCCATAGCCATCTCACAACACCCAAAATCCGAAAAATCTTAAACAATTTTTTTACATATCAATGCTCCCAAGCGTTGATGCATCTATCTGTATTCTTCTGCCATGACCCTCAACCATGGCTCAATAAGAAAGGTTGCTCAACTTCACGTGAACTAGGAAAATGCAACTCTGTACTGGAGTCTTATTATGTGAAATAGAACTTTAAAATATGCAACAATTGGTTTTATTTTTAATATTTTTTCACAGAATGAATTTATTGGGGAAAACCCAAAAAACTTTAATTGAATTTTGTGGTTTCTCCACAAAATTGAATCCAAGATAGTAGGACAAGATTGTTTTATACCAAAAGTATACATTTTGTTGCTTGTTAATGTGGCAAATATGCATTTCTGTGGTCTCTAAATTTGAAATAATTTCTAATTATTTTATTTTTTATTCAAAACAATACACTCATACAAATTGTGTGTAAGTTTTGATAGAATAGAAGCACCAAAAGAAACAAAATGTATTTAGGGGGTAGCTTTGTTCTACCTTCTGTATATGTGCCATGGTCTCAACTTACTCTAAGTTCAATAGAAATAATAGTGCCATGCATTAAATCCATTGACTCACAACGATGTTTTTTAGAATGAAATGAATTGGCAGCTGAAATCCAATATCGTTCAAATCCAGTGCAATAAAAATATACAATAAATATTGACGTGTTCGATGGTGTGTACAATACCAATTATAAGCCGAGATACGACTGATTACTTGTTTGAAGTAACCACATTGTTTAATGTCAAAAGCATCTGTTGTTTATTTATGGTTCACTTTTGGTGTGTGTGACTGTGATTTTTTTTAAAGGGAGGTAGTTTTCATATTTTTGTTAAGGTGGTCGGTTGTGTTGTTTGCTTTCGCGCATTCTTTTAATTTTAATTTGTTTATTTTGATTCTTAACAATGTCGGCGTCGGGGGAAAATGTTTTGGTTCAATTCACCAACTGTAGATTGGTCCGCAACCATCAGTTAGTCAAAGATGATTTATGGATACGGAATGGACGTATCATCAATCCAGAGCCCGTGTTTTTTGATGAAAAGAATGTGGCCCACAAGCGATTCGATTGCAATAATGCCATAATTGCAGCGGGGTACATTGACCTCCAAATCAATGGTACGTTAATGAATACATTGTAGTTGTTGTTGTTTTGTGCGTTCATTAAACATTGTTATCTTTATTTGGTTTACTCAACGAATTTGAATGGAAAATGCTGTCGCCAATTCCAGCAATGGAACTCTTAACACGATAACCCACAATTTGATTTGAATAACTTATTCTAGATTTTCAAATCCTTACCCATATTTAATTTTCGGATATACACAATCCCATTTTAGGCAATAACTCTGGAATAATAAAAAGTCTGTTTTGAATATTGTACTTTGTTTTCAAATCCCCGAAATATTTATCTAATATGGCCTATAATATATTGTTCCGGAACCTGCAAGAATCTTCTAGTTTTGCAATTTTTGTCGATATCAAAAAGGGAAAATCGTAGTAAAAACAGTTCTGGAACAGACCAAAACGTAGTTTCATTACTACTGCGACTTTTTTGTTTTATCAGGTTTGAGCAAAATTGTTTCATATGTAGAGCTTATAGAAGTGGTTCCCACTACATCAAAAAACCATATCGTAGATTCAGATATTTAAAAATAATCAAATAACTGTTGATTCAACTATAAATCCGAATCCTTACTGTTTTTACATACACATTCAGTGCTTACAGTCTTGTAGCTTAGACCTTTACATGACTACCATTGAGAAGCAACTCCACCGCTTAGAAATACGCTCGCTGGCGAATTATCAATTATACTTGCAATCTGCTATTGTAAGTGCTTGCTCTATAAATATTTTTAAAACATGATTATCTTATCAAAACAAAAGATGTCGATGCTTCTAATGTGGGCCAAGATTTCAATTGACCATTGTGGAAACTTGAGGAATAAAAATAAGTGATTTGTACAATTGATTTGTATTTATTCATATGTATTTGTGCAAACAATTTAGGTACTATTAATTTACAATTGTTTCCCTCTTTCAATTTAATGCGGCAAAAACACGTTGGGTACATGCAGCATTTTTAAAGTTTTATAATTGTATGTTGTATTTGATAGTATATGTAACGTTAGTGTTTTAATAAACTGATTTCTATTGTTTTTCGTTAATAAATTTATATAAATAAGTCTTCGCATATTTTGTGACTTATCATGAAGGGATGCCAGACCCGCGCTCGAATCCTCTCGGGGGTTTTTCTTACAATTTTACATTAATACGATGCTGAGCTGCTTATTTATTCACATCTTTATATTATAACAGAAAAACATAGTTGTTATAGAAACTAAAAAAACCATAATGACAATTAGTTTCGAATTGAAAAAGCACAGTGTTTATAATTTTTTATTCATTTGACAATTTCTTCCTTTATAAAGGTTTTCATTTCACATTTTCATAGAACGAGAAGAAGCGAATTGGTAAAAAATACAGCTATTTTTATTAAGTTCAATGTAAAATTTAAAGATAAATATTGAAAATTGTGCAACTATGTGGTTGAGGTTCTTGATAGAGAAGGCCGATATCGTCCATTTTCGCACCTGGCCTAGCACCGGTACTATTATTGGGATCTACAGAGTTTGATGATCCAATTTTCTTGTATTAAGAAAATCTTTTCTTTGAAATTTTATCTTTTGTGGGGTAGGTACCGGAAGGAGTGGACCTTAACTAAGTTCTTCATCAATATATTCAAGTATAGTTCCATTTGTGGTAAAGCTATAAATAGCAGTCTAAATCTCTTGCCAGATTTCACGTGTTGAACCGAAAAAAGTATGCCTTCCTGGAACCTCTTTCTTTCAGCATATTTTGCAATTTCTCATTTTTAAGTAAAACCCGCACAATTTCTTCTTTTCAGATATTATTTATTTTGATTTACTTTCAAAATCTTTATAAATCTTGTTGACATGAAAGTTACAAATTTGTTTGTGCATTTAAAGGGCGAATTGGGCGAATACAAATTATATTTTGACCGAAAACTTGGTTGTCAAATGGTCTTCCTGGCCGACCTTATATAGGCCTTGATTTAACTTAAAATTTGAATCAAATGGTGAATAATAACAACGTATTAGCATTTTGAAACACATCAATTCAAAATGTATACATGATCTGGAACCATCTGGACGTCCTTCCAACTGTGTAGATGGTACAGAAGAAATTATTTATGGTAGAATTATTTTAAATAAGGATGTACACGTCTAAATTTTCTTAAATCACCCTGTCAAAATTTCTCACTCGGATTTGTGTACGTGCAATGGATTTCCACAGTGCAATATATTTCCACAGTAAGATTTTGTCAATGGTTTAATTTATAAAAATAAAGTATAAACGCGGTTACCTTTTAATTCTGCTATGTTTGGGTATCTTCAAAAATATGTTCCGTAAAGAAAAAAGGCCCACATTTATTGAAACACATCATACAAAATCTACATGATCGACAATGACAATTCCCAATTCTTAATATTCAACTTTTGAATGGCTGATAAAGGTTTTTTTACTGGTTTAAAGGTCGTTTAATTTAATTTTGGTCCATAATCTATATTTTTTTACTTTACGGCTTTTAAGGAGCAGATCACCTTAAAGATGAGAATACATAAAACGCTAGAATACATAAAACTGGCTTAAGTCATCGACTGGCTTGTTCGGGAAAGAACAAAGGAGCGTAGGGACAAAATCGAACTAAGTCGACCTAAAATTCCTTTGTTCCTCTACGGAGAAGCCAGCCGATGACTTAAGCCAGTCAAAAAGCGTCTTATCTATTCCCAACTTTAGCCTGCAAAACGCAAAAATAAGTTTTGAACAAATTCAACTTTGAAAAATTGTATGTTCGACGTATTTCGATGAAAACATTAAAGTCATTCGTCAGGCATTCGGTACGGTATTACTTTAATGATTATTGATTATTAGTTAAAGAATAATGTGATATGTATTCCTGTATTAAGCTGAAAGCGTGTGTTTTTCCTATTTCATGTTCGTGTTGAATATGTTGCTTGATATTTAAAAATGTCTGATAATACATTTGTCACTTACAATCACATTTAATATTTTATAAAAACTCTTTCACATTATAGGTGGTTTTGGTGTCGACTTTTCGTATGACACTGATACGGTCGAAGAAGGTATCAACAAAGTGGCTTGCGGTTTAATAAAAACCGGCGTAACCTCATTCTGTCCAACGATAGTAACGTCTCCAATGGAGACATATCATAAAGTTTTGCCACGCATTCCAGAAACTACAAACGGCGCTGGTGTCTTGGGTGTTCACTTAGAAGGACCTTTCATAAACATAATAAAGAAAGGGGCTCATCCAGAAGAGTGCATAAAATCTTTGGAGAATGTAACGTTTAAAACTATACCCATATCCTCCACATACTTATAAAAATTACATTTATCTTTGTAATAATCAGGTAATTTGTTTTATTTTAAGGGTTTTCAAGGCCTAATGGATGTCTATGGGTCACTAAAGAATGTTAAAATTATAACTCTCGCCCCAGAACTAGAATCATCGGAAAATGTTATCAAACAACTTACGGAACAAGGCATAACGGTTGCTGTGGGTCATTCAATGGCTAGCTTAAAACATGGCGAAGCAGCTGTACAAAATGGTGCATCGTTAATAACACATCTATTCAATGCCATGTCGAGTGTAATTTCCCATTTTAACTTTAAAGCGAAAACAAGACGTGAAGCCGAAAGAATGCTATCTCATTTTTTTAACAAAAAACCCGTCTTGTCTTCGTTTTAGATATGCCAGTTGGGTTGACTGTAAAAAATAATTAAAATGTTTAATATTAGTTTCATCACCGGGATCCCGGTTTAGTGGGCCTTTTAGCTTCCGATGACATACCTAAGGGCCAGACGGTATATTTTGGAATTATATCCGACGGCGTTCACACCCATCCCACTGCTTTGCGAATTGCTCATCGAACACACCCCCAAGGTTTGTGTTTGGTTACGGATGCCATATCTGCCCTAGGATTGGAAGAAGGTATTCATCATATTGGACAGTTCAAACTTGAGGTAAAAGATTCCATGGCATTTGTTGCCGGTACAAATACGCTTTGCGGTAGTATCGCCCCCCTAGATGAATGTGTGCGCATCTTTAGGAAAGCAACAAGTAGGTCCATCCAAATTAACATATTACACTAAATATACTAGTAAACTGTGTTGTTTTTGTTTTTCAGATTGTTCAACTGTATATGCAATCGAAGCTGCCACACTGCATCCAGCCAAATGCTTAAAAATTGAAAAGTCTAAGGGAACTTTAGATTTTGATTCAGATGCTGATTTCATAATGTTGGATGATGATTTGAATGTATTGTCAACGTGGATTGATGGCAAATGTGTTTATTGCAATAATGAAGTCACAAAGAAAACCTTTTCTTGTAATAACTCTGTACAGAATTGATCGTTAGTATCTAATTTCCCCAAAAATGTTTCGGACATTTTACAATCTACCTATTGTTAATTGTTTTTATACCTATATATATTTTGTGTATACACTTATTTTATAAACAAATTTTATAATAAATGTGTGTTGTTTTTATATTGCTATGCAGCTTGTTTAAATTATAGTCAATATGTACGCTATTTGCTTTTTTTTGGTGTCCTTTTTGCAAGATTTTTGTCAGAAAAAGTTTTGTGATGTCAACAAAATTATTGTGAAGCAGATCGTTAAGTTAAACTCTTAAAACTCAAAAGTGTATTGGGTAAATTTTCCTTTAGATGCAATTCGATGCTTTCTCCCATAAAAATGTGTCATGGGAAAATGTGGTCTTGATCATTATCATTACAATGGTACCCAGATAACAACTAATAAATAAACATTACTTTTTAAAAACATAAGAATGTTATCGAACGTAACTGCTTTGAAATAAGAAAAAAATTAGCAACCCATGCTAATATTATGGATTTCAAGTTATGCTCACCTGTATAAGACGTGGCTACATTAGTGGAAGTATAAGAAATGAGAGCAAGGTAGCCCCATTTCAAATAATGATATCCAGCTCTGCATTTTCTGTAATATAACTTTACTAAAGAAAACAAGTGAAAAAGTAGTAAGTTCGGCCGGACCGAACTTGGAATACCCTTCACCATTTGGAACGAACGAACGCAATTTTGAAAAACAATAAAATCCGTTAAAAATTCTGTTCAAATCTTAGAAGTACCGAATGTAGCTTTTATATTAGGGTCAACACGACGACATGGACCTGCATAGGTAACTTTTGTCATAAGTCATTAAAATATTCAAATGCGAAACAAAAAACAAGTAAAGAAGCAGTAAGTTCGGCCGGGCCGAACTTTGAATACCCTCCACCATTTGGAACGAATTAGAAAATATTCAAAAACATAAAATCCATTGAAAATTCTGTTAAAATCTTTAAAATACCTAATATCGGAAGGTGCCGATGTATGGGGGTATATACGCTATTGTGGACCTATATAGTCAAATCTATGTCTGGGGGTAAAGTACTCACCAGGAACTCCTTGTGTGGATTTTCAGATAATTCCATTGGGAAATTTGGCTAAAATCATCAAAACCCCGAATATCGGGGGTACCGTTATATGGGGGATATACGATATTGTGGACCTATATAGACAAATACCTTTCAGGGGTTAAAGTGCTCACAAAAAATCCTTGTGTGGATTTTCAGACAATTCCGTTGAAAAATGTGGGTAAAATCATCAAAATACCGAATATCGGGGGGTACAGTTATATGGGGGATATACGATATCGTGGACCTATATAGACAATTCTTTTTGAGGGGGTAAAATGTCCACAAGGGACTCCTTTTGTGGAATTTCAGACAATTCCATTGAAAAATGTGGCTAAAATCATCAAAATATCAAATATCGGGGGTACCGTTATATGGGGGCTATACGATATCGTAGACCTATATAGATAATTCTCTGCCGAGATATAAAGTACCCACAAGGAATTCCTTGTGTGGATTTTCAGACAATTCCGTTGAAAGATGTGGGTAAAATCATCAAAATACCGAATATCGGGGGTACAGTTATATGGGGGATATACGATATCGTGGATCTGTATAGACAATTCTCTCTCAGGGGGTAAAGTACTCACATGGAATTACTTGTGTGGATTTTCAGATAATTCCGTTGAAAAATGTGGATAAAATCATCAAAATACCAAATGTCGGAGGTTCCGTTATATGGGGGCTATACGATATCGTGGACCTATTAGATAATTCTCTGCCGAGGTATAAAGTACCCACCAGGAACTCCTTGTGTGGATTTTCAGACAACTCCGTTGAAAAATGTGACTAAAATCATCAAAATACCGAATATCGGGGGTACCGTTATATGGGGCTATACGATATCGTGGACCGATATACCCCATCTTCGAACTTGACCTGCCTGCAGACAAAAGAGAAATCTGTGCAAAATTTTAGCTTCCTATCTTAATTCGTTTAGACTGTAGCGTGATTACAACAGACGGACAGACGGACGGACGGACAGGGCTAAATCGTCTTAGAATTTAACGCTGATCAAGAATATATATACTTTGTTGGGTCTAAAATGATTATTTCGATGAGTTACAAACGGAATGACGAAGTTAATTTACCCTCCATACCTTTTTGGTGGAGGGTATAAAAATCGTTGAATAATATAGGTAAAGTCATCAATATGCATACTGCAGACACAATCTCCTGTCATAAGCTGTAGCACCCATTGCGAACATCAAATACCAAATTTGAAAGAATTCTGATGAATATTGCCGCTAAATTCATCAAAATACCGAATATAGGGAGGTAGCGTTATTTGGCGGATATACAAAAACGTGGACCTACTTGGCCCATTTTCAATATTAAAAGTCCATACATAATATGCATTTGAGTAAAATTTTATCAATCTACTTCAATTCGTTCGGAAGCTAGAGTGATTTCTCTAAATCGACATAGAATTTTATGCTGATCAAGAATATATATATATATATATATATATATATATATATATATATATATATATATATATATACTTTGTGGGGTCTTAAATATATATTTCGAGGTGTTACAAACGGAATGACAAACTTAATACACCCTCCATACTATGGTGGAAGGTATAACAAACGTTACTTATGTCATCGATTTAATGCATTCGACAATACCACGATACGATAACTTAAAATACGATAACTTAAATCGATGATTGAGAGCAAGTGGAGGTATTGAGAGTTTGCAAAATCTTACTGGAAAAAAATTACTCAATAAGGATTATCGAGTAACATCAGTTGATTGAAAAACATCTGTTTTTGTGGCCATTACAAAAATATTACAAATTTCATGCATTATTATTTAAAAAATAATTTAATTATTTTTTTATATAATAAACATTCGCAATAAACATTATTACAATAAAGAACTAATTTTAAACCATAAAAAATTTCATTTTGAATGTCAAAATTTAGACATGGGGAAGAAAAATCCCTCATACAGATTACGGAGTATTTTTTACTGGAAAAGTAATCGTACATACCAGAGGGCTGCAATGAGTATGATCGAGTAGGCTTGATCACACACAGTGGAAATACAATCAAACTCAATCAGTCGGTCAGATGCAACATGTTCATTCGAGTTACTCAAGCCAAACGAAAAAGATGTGATCAAACATGTATTGATCGAAATTTTGTGATCGCAATCAAACAGCTCACATCAGTTATTTGTTTACGAACTTATGTTGAATTGTTCATAACGGGTCGATCATCTATGAGGGGTCTTGTCGGTTTGATTCATCCCAGTTAAGTGAGTGATTTGATTTGATTAAAACACAAATGTTCGAAACTGAGCGAAATCATGATTGTAATTTTACAAAGGATTTCATAACTAAAAGCTGTCCCCATAAAAAAATTGGTGCAAATTATATCTAAACAATGTTTTCGTTTTATTTGGTTTTTTGGTGTGTTAGACTTCAGTGACTTATTTGAAAAAAAAAAAAAAAAAACAAAATTAAATTTTTTAATAAAGAAACACATCATTGGTATTTAGAAAACTAAAAATGTTTAAATATTTTTTTATTTTACAATATTGGTCAAGATTTTTCACAAACTTCGACCTCTTCGTTTACCTACACCTGTGTAGTTTCTACTTGCAACAATTTCGTTCGCACTATCACAATATTCTTCCATTTCAAATATTAAAAAAGTCAAAATAAACTGTCCTAACTTGATTAAATGGTTGAATAAACAATGACGCTGAGCGAACTCGATTCAAAGAAGACAATCACGGTTGTGATTGCTCATTTACATTCATGTGTTCGATCAACTCACGTTGCTGAACACATCAAACCGTCTCGAACGCTCATGTTTGATTGTGAGTGAAGTGATTCAAACTGACCGTTCGATTCGATCCGAAGCGAAAACGGTCATTTCATTCAGATCAAACTAAACGACTGCATCAACAAAAATCAGGTAAGAAACCGAGTATGCTTGAATTTTTGCATACTCGTTGCAGCCCTCTGGTACATACCCAACATTTTACTCATATTTTCAATTTTTGTTGACATGAAAATGTTGACATTTTAAATCAAAATTCCAACATTTTCTAATTTATTTTTCTATTTACTTCAATTATTTGCTGTGTGTTGCTGTTAATTGTTTGTTTGTAATTGTATTAGTGATTCTGCCTTGTTCGTATTTAAAACATGCTCGTTTGCTATTGCATATTCATAGCATGTAGTACGGAACTAGCTTGTAAAGTCAGATTCAAATAGGTAACGTGACGTATGAATACAGTCGCAGACAAAAGTTCGGGTCTACAAACAAGAAAACAATCTTACTTGTACTTGATTTTTCTCTCACATGAAAGACAAATTCTTAGTTACTTAACCGTTCAAATTTTTACTGTGTAAATCTTACTGAATAAGTAAATCGTATACCGTATGTCTGAATTTGATAACTAACAAAATGTGCAAAATGATTATATTCTACCAAATATAACATCTTTCAGAAATTGCACAAGATACCCTTTTTAATTTGACTCAATAGTTCGTATTGAGTCAAGAATGGTTGCTATGGAAAATGAATCGTTTCACGTTTTCAGATATTCCCCATGTAAGGGTACCTCTCTATTCGGTACTTTGATGATTTTAGCCACGTTTTCCCACGGACTTGTTTTAGACCCGGTACTTCCATACATTCGATATTTTTACGATATGGCCGCATTTTCTATCGAATTTGTTTAAAATTCTTTATTTGTAGCTCCTAATGGGTTCTACTACCGGTGTCAGAACAATGTCCTATTTGCCCACGGTTACCATATAATGTTACCTCTCGATATTTCATATTTAAATGATTCGAGCCACATTATTGAACGAAATTTCAAAACTATTCTAGTTACTGAAGAAATATTTGGGATATTTATCATAGAAGCTTAAACATGTCTTTTCAATTTTTATCTATATGATGCTAAAAATTAAAAAATTGGTCGCTACAGAATTTTAATTGTCATGTTGAATCATCTAGTGACCAGGAGGAGATTACCTGATCAAAGTCAATAGTTCCCAATACCAGGATGCCGGACAGGTTGATCCCGCTA